TTAGTCTACAAGAACCACATTCTAAACTAACTAGCTAATTTAATAACAAAACAAAAAAAAATTTCCAAGATTGAACGTAATATATTGGCTTTATACTACATGAATTCCATGCAGTTGCAAAGAGGAGAACTCTTTAGGCCTTATTTTTATTTTCAATTTAATTCTATTGCACATATTCCACATTTTGCAGATAAAATGTATGTACACTTTTGATATAAGGAAGCTGAATGCACACATACATACCAAATACATAAGGGCCTGATCGTCTATTCCGCCATTTTAGTCGGAAAGTGAGAAGAAAGTGAGTAACTATAATATATTTGTATAATGTAATTTTCGAGTGAGAAGAATTCTTTAGCATTGCGTTATTCACTTTGTTTGTGAAAGTGAGACGTTCAGTTGATAATTTTAGAAAAAATGCAAAAATCCAATTAAAAAAAGTAACTTTATTGGAAAAGTAAAACATCTATTAGAAAATACTAAGAATTCTGATTTGAAAGTGAATAAAAAGTAAGTAAGCGAGATGCATGATCAGGCTGAGAGTAAACTCCATTTTTTTGACATTATATGAATTGCTTTTTAAAAAATAAACTGATTAAATTAAGTAAGATAAGAATTTTGACTTCTCCAGAAATTTTATCAATTTTCTGCTCAAGTCAGGAATATCAAAATATTAATTTGCAATCCATGATCTGTATCTTCAAGATTATTTCTTAATTATATCGAAATTCGTTGTGGAATGTGGTGATTGCAAAAAGAAGACCTATTTCACGGCTTAAATTAATGAATTTTTAAAACTGTAAAAACGTTTTTTTTCTCCGAAATTGTTCTTTCTACTCGATAAAGTATAAATGTATGCAGAAAGCTGTTATATTTTATTTAAATTAGTTTTATTTTTTTTTACATATTTAGAAAATAAAATTTTTAAACTTTTTTAAAATCCCATCTAAGCTACATCTATACATAAAGTAAAAAGAAAAAATGTTTCATTGCAAAAAAAATATTTTGTACATTTAGCAGATATACAAACCCAATATAATTTAGACGATTTTAAAAAAATTCGATTTTTATTCTATTGCTCACTAGATGTCTCTAAACAACTTTATAAATATGGTTTGCTTTTATAATGAACTGAAAAAGTGTTCTATAACAATAAATAATAATCTTTTCAAAAAATTACAGATTTTCATAAATGCAATACTGCAAAACAATAACTGCAAAAAATATTTATTACCAAAGCAATTGATGAGATTTGCGGCCTAGCCGTGTACCTCGCTGTTTATTCACTTTCAAATTGAAATTCTTTGTTTTTCTAATCAATATTTCGTTTTTCCATTACTCATATTTTCAATTGGATTTTTTGTCTCAAATTATCGACTGAACAAACACTTTCAAAAACAAAGTGAATAAATTTTGTATAAATACATTTTAGAAAAAAGGGAAATAAGCAATGTCAAATAATTCTCCTCACTCGAAAATTACATTATAAAAATATATGGTATAATTATTCCCTTTCTTCTCACTTGCCGAGTAAAATAGTGAGATAGACGATCAGACCCTTAATAGCGCTACTCATAATTTCGGTATATGTACTGCGAGAATTTAGCAATATAAAGATTTAAATTATAAATAATAATATAAATAATAAAAGATAACATTTGTTTATAAATTGCAATATACAACATTTGTTGTTCATAAATGTGGAGTTTCACTCTATATGTATTGGGGTATAATGCGCTTATGAAAAGGCCTATTGAATTTGACTTAATACTCTATGCAATGTAATTGAATTGTTCTGCGAATCCTCAATATTGTACTTAATGAAATACATTTTTTTTTTAAAATAGGGGAAGCTTCAGAGATAAAGCCCTTTTTTTAAAGCCAGTATATCGCGATATATAGTGAAAAGTGGTATATATATTTATGTTCATTCACAATTTCACAAATATTGATTATATACTCGTACTTAGTTTGTTCATAAACATTGTTAAATTACCAGGACCTAGATAATCATAATATGAACTATTAGCAATTAAATTATGTTAACTCTTTTGCTTTTATAGAATAGTTAAAAATAAATTGCATATATATCACGTATTTAAATAGTTTGCATATTTACAGTATTGCTTTTATTAAAATCTTTATAATATATTGCTGTATATGCCTGGCAATGCTAGCAAATTTCATTTATCAAATTTCCTATTCATTCAAATCGTTTGTAGCAACGATATTAACTGCGCCTCACAAACCTACATTTGAAAGCTTGGAAAAGGATAGTTTTCCAGAAAGACATTTTTCTACAAAATTGCAAATTCAAAATGTTTTAATAGTATAATAAAAACGTAAAAACAATATAAAGACAAAATCTATGAAGGCATGACAAAGCGTGAAAATAATTTTTAAATTAACTTAATATAACTCTAAAACAACTTTTAAATAACCACACAACACATATTATGTATACACACCATCTATATATAAATATGTGTGGGTACACAAACTGGAGCTTATACATGGTCATAGCACCGTAAAACATTAAAAATAAATAAAATTTCTGAATCATTTCAAAAGAATAACGAAATGGTTCTCACTTCCTTTAATCACTATTAATTTTTTATCAGTAAGCAAAATGATTGACAGTGAGAACTATTATAAATTGAATTTTAAAACTGAATCATGTGAAAAACTGTAAAATTATTGTAAAATAAAAAATCTTCCACTCTACCCCAGTTTAACAGATGAAACTATCTTTGTCTGAATTATTTAAAAATATGTAAACGAAATTGTGATCGGATTAAAAATACATACATCAATGATGAATGAAAAATAAATCAACAAAAAGCTTTTTTCTCTCTGGAAAGAGAAGGATTTGTTTTAAGATGCAGGAACCATTATATAAATCAGTTGACTAATCATAGACAAAGCAGAGCAACAAATTACAATGCAGTTAAACGTTTTTGAATTTTCCTTTACGTACTCTTAATTTCGTTGATGAAAATGTTAAAAATGTCTGAATTCATAGAGACCAATAATATTACATAGCATAAGTCCAGACATAATGTTTTCTTATGAAAATTTTAATATTATTCAAGATGAACGATGTTGATCACATTATAAAATGTAAGCTATGATTCAGCGAGCTATCAGAAACAATACAGAAAGAAATACAATTATTTGAGTAGAAAGAAATAGAATTTCAAAATTGAAGATCGTTAAAATTTCCTTTGAAGAACTTTGAAGAACCGAAGCTTATTCTGAGTATCGATTCACAAGTGTTAGTGATATTTGTCTTTGATAGTATGTATGAATTGGTTTGTGTACACAATAAAAATATCGAATTTTCTACGATAATTTCGAATATCACTTAGTAATTACTTGTAATGTATGAAAGAGTTAAAGTGTGCAACATAATACGAGATGTTTAAAATTTTTCTGTCTAAAACAAATTTATGATTTCGTTAGAATTACCTATTAATTTCGCATATAAGAGCAATTAACCATTTTCGTTCAATAAAAAGAAATATTTATATGTACCTTTTAGATTCAAAATAATTGCAACAAATTTCGCACCTTTACTGTAACGCTTTGAGAATTGAAAATTCAAACCTTAATTATTTCATTGATGTTACAACATTAGCTAAAAACAATTAAATAACGATAAAATTAAAAAATTAATTATAAGATGAGGTTGATTATGAATTAGAGTTTTGTTAATTTCATATGAAACACATTGATTAATTCATTTTTAAAAGTGAAGCAAATAAAAGTGTTTATTTCTTGTCACCATAAAATAATTTCCCCCTACATCGTATTGTGTCAGGGTTATTTTATAGTTACGACTTACGACATATCTTTTTACAATTATATAACCCTCAATTTTTCTTTATAAAAAGCACACTATTTCCATCAATGCTCAATCAACAAGAAAATTTTGATTGCAAACTTAGACTTTCAGTGAAAATTAAACTATCTTATCAAAAATAATTAAATTGTGCATATATTAAATGTAAATACTTAAGTTGGTAAGTTTGACTCGCCCTGATTTTAAAAATTCAGATAAATTTTTATTGTTGAATTGTGAAGGTTTGGATATCACTGCAATTTTTAAGTCATGGTATATTAACTCAAAAAAAGTTACTTATAGAACTAAAATTTGCTCAAAAATCACAAATTCTGCATATGATACACATTTATTTAGTTTTGACCGAACTCAACATTTTTTAATTAATATAAGCTTTGTCGGAGGGTGGTAATTCACAATTTATGAATAGATTCATTTACATTCATACGAGTATATACTATAATACAATGTGACATGTTTGTGTATGTACACATCAAAGCTGCCGTTATACTTCAATTATAGCATTTGTGCTCCTATATCATGGTCCGTATACTACTGTACTGTTTTCTCATTTTAAATACTACCCTATTATATATTGTAATATATAAGGGCTCAGGCAGACATTTTTTGCAGTTAGTGCTTCATTGTAAAATCGTTGTGCGTACATCTTTGCAACTTAAACGATTGCATCAATTCAAATCAATTGCGTTAACTAAAAATTACAAACAGATTGTGAAAAATTATAAACTGTTTAATTATTTAATCGTATGCGATCAAACACTTGAATGTGGGCGCGTTTGAACATAAACCTATGGAATACAAAAAAGTAATCAAACAGTTTCAAAACTGGAAGTTGGATGTCTGCCTGAACCCTAAGAGTTTGTACTTTGTTTCCGTCGAAAATATTCTATTTTAAATGAAAAAAAAACTCCTCTTCTAATAAATTAAACGGCAGCTTTGGTATACAATGCTAATATTTTTTAACTCCATTATTCGTTCGAAAAAATGTTTAATAAAAAGTTAATAATCTTGCAGAAAATTAACAAAAAACAAAATAAAAAATTTTACTCAGAGAGTTATTGAGAGAGAATAAATCTAAAATATTAAAATGTATGAAAAAATTTTAAGTTAGTACTTATTAAACCGCGATCCAAAACACTTAAAACAAAATACGAGAGAATAACTAAATTCCAAATGATTTTAAAACTTTTAAAATAATTTAAAAAAAAGAAAAAAAAAACGTAGCAATCTTCTTTTTTGTAGTCTAAAAAAATGTTTTTTTTTTGTGATTTAAAAAATATCTACAATATAAAAAAGTAAAACTGTAGTCATTATTTAAATTAATAATAAATTTGTGATTAGTAGAGAAGCAACAAAAAAATAAAACTTGTTATATAGTTCTGGCTGGTTCTGGTTTAACAGCATTGAATGGAAGAAGTTGAAGAAGAAAAGTTAAAAAAGCAATTTCAGATCGTAAATTCATTTTTAAGAAATAGAAGTTTATAGGTAAAAAATTAAAATGCTAAAAGCAAAACAATTTTTATTCCTTTTTTTTATTAATTTATCACTAATCAATTGATTTTTTTGTTTAATCTCTTTACCGTGACCTTTAGTAGTGACCGTGATAAAAAAAAAACTTTAAAATGTTTTGTTGTTGTTTTTTTATTGTTTACACTTTCTATTAAATTTTTTTTTGTTTATTTTTTAATGACGCTCTTAATATATTCCTTTTTTATGCAACTAGAGTTCAGCTATATACATGCATATATACATATACATATGTATATAGTTTTATTTACAAACTGTTATTTCGGAAAAGTGTTCATATTTGATGAAAGAAGAATTTATTTATAGTTGTGTCATAAAAAAGACTAGAATATGAAAATTATCTGAAATTGTCGCAAAATTTCGAAAAGTTTATGAATTTTTTGTAAAACAAATGCGACGGAATTATAATATTGTGTAGTGTATTATTTTATCACACCACATAGCATCAATGTATATACCTAAAGTTACAGAGCATTGAAAACATAGCATGAATTTTGTTATACACTAATTCGGGAACAATGTTTTAAATTTTCATACACTATATGTATGTTTGTAAGAATGCAGAGCAAGAATGTTTGTAAGAATCCGGGAATTCCTGGCACAGAATTTGTTTTCCTTTCGATAAAGAAAATCGGAAATTCATTAGATGATCAAAAAAATTGCAATTTAAACTGCAATATAAACTGCACAATATAATTTTCACTTGCACACACACACACATATTTGAGTTTAAATATGGATTACCTGCCGTAAACTGTTTCATAATATTCTCTTTGACTTAGTAATAAATTTTGTTTAATTATCCATAACTAACAATTACTTCATTGAAAAAAATTAAAAATACCACATATACGTATGTATTATGTATTTGATGCCTTTGTGTCTTTGTATTATAACAACGTAGAACCAAATTTATAATTATTGAAAATTAAATGTTTTTTATTGTAGGTCTTCAAAAAAATTAGTTGCTTCAGTTAAATTGCGCTAATATCTCTGCAAGGATAGAACTTATACAATCTAATGCCTAATGGAATAAATGATCCGTTGGTCCTGCAAGAAAACACTATAATAATTCATTCAGAATATTTTGATTTAAATAGCAAACTAATTTCAGTACTCGACAAATTGCATTATAAATAAGCAATAACTCGAAAATAAAAAATAGTAGCTCTCGACTATTTAGAATCTCTATAATATGCCATTAAATTTAATTTAATTTTCCCATACTAAAAACCTTATATTAATTCGGGGGATAAACGAGTTTTGTTATCAATCACGATTGTTTTTTAAAAAAATTTCAACAACGTGTGAAACTTAATTGCTATCATCATGCAATCTTGAATTGCTACTATTAAAATGAAATCTCAAAGAAACAACAAAACTTACTTCTAACGTTGCATTGTCTAACTTTTTGTCGATTGCTTAAATTTTTATTAATGATCACTTTTATTTTAGTCATTTTAGCAAAATTTAAGGAAGGCGTTAATTATTATGTTTCAGAATTTTCTAATTCAAAATAAGCATTTCTATTTGACTTTCCATATCTCGAAAAAAATTTATAATCTCTGTTAAAAATAAATTAAGTACAATATGAAATTGAGAGGAACTAAAAAAAAATTAATCTAATTTTTTCCCTTGAAATTTGATTTAAATTACGAGAATTTCTTATCACATGATATTATAATATACGGTATATGGTAAATATTATGTGCATATGTATGTAATTATGTAATAATTAAATATTGAATTCCGGGTTTTCCATAAAATATATTTTTCACAAGTTTTAATCATCTTCAAGAATTAATTTTAAAATGGTCAAAAATCAGTTGAATATTATTTAGCATAGGTACGTATATATTGTGGATATAAGTATATATATATTTATTTAAATGTATACAATGTATGGATATATACCTAATTATATTACAATTTAATCGGCTTGTTTTTACTGTCTTTTATGCTTATTTAACTGAATTTTTCTGTGTGTGTGTTAAATGAAATAAAATTGGTGTTAATGAATATAACCAACTGTACCCAACCAAAAATTATTTAACAAAATAAATTTGACATTTATATTGGTCTCTCTTAAAGATTTTATTTTTAGTATAATTACGGCATGTTAACAATATTAATAGTAATAAAATTTTTGTCAAATTATTTTATTCAGCAGTTAACATTTTCGTTAACTGGCTTTTTTCTGAAATCTTTGATAAAGGTGATTAAATATTGACCTATGTACAATTTTTTAAACTTATTTAACCAGGCTCAACAAAAATAATAAACCGGAATACACGCTGGTCGTAGGTAGACTATCACTAGAGATCATCTTGTCTTGCAGACAAACTGGAAGAACAAAAAAAATTTTTTAGTTTGCATACAATTCGGCGATAATGTTCACCGAATTTCCTGCAATTCTGCCAAAAAATGTATAAAATTTTATCAATACCGAAGAATCCACCCACAATTAGACCCCTTCACGACACATAAATAAAAAAAAATACCTCAGTTAAATTTAAATAATTAAAAGGCGTCGAGACTAGTTTTAAAATAACATGATCAAAAAACAACTGAATTGCATTTTTTGGCAATGTCAAAATGTATTGTATATAAAATTATTTCAATTGGTCGGAAAATTTAATAATTTTATTAATACAACATGCTCCCAAGATAGAGCTTATTAATTAAAATTAATAACTGAGTTTAAATTTAAAATGTCTCATGAAGGGATTCCTTCTTTCTATTATCTACTATAAAAGTTGTCAATTATATAATATCGCTCCACCATTCTGAATCATAACAAATGTTTATTAGAATGACTAATAGAACGTCAAACTATTTTCAAATTTTTAGCATAATTAATAATAAATTTATCATACAATTTTATTCACGTCTGTTTCACATGAATTTTTAATTCATGTCTAATTTACCTCATATTTCAATTTAAATAATTTATATTTTTAACATCTTGATAAGAAATAGGAAATACATGATGCATTTTAAGTTGAGCTGCGATACAAAAAATCAATAAACTGTTTAAATAAAAATTCCAATTTGATTACATCGCATAACAATTAATCATTGGGGCAAAAAACTTTTATCAATTCATCACTGAAAAATACAAAATTTTATAATTAAAGTATACTATACTTGTATGCAATATTGAGTATATGTTATATACAATATTGTACTTTACTTGAGTACGATTTTGAAGAGTGAAATTTTAAAGAAATTTATTATATATTTGGGACAATCTTAAGCGAACTGCGAATATACATTAAAATTATATTTTTTCCTTTTAATATTATTTTTAAATTTGATATTTATTGGTTTCGAAGAATAGAAATTTAACTAGATTAATTTATTACTAAAATTTAAAGTTAAATTAAAAAGTGCCACGGCAATTTGGCTTAATATTGTCAACATTATTTATTTGAACTGGACAAATCTTAATAATAATAATGTGTACCTTTCTTCTTACTCCATTTTGCAAAAAACAATATTAATTTTATTTTAAATTAAAATAAAAAATTTAAAATACTTTCCGCATTTTTAAAACTTTTTAACAAATGAAAATTTGAAAAAAATGACGCTACACGAAACGAAAGAGTCATAACGCTACAACATAATTTTCTTTTGCGTTCTTTAATTCATTTTGAATAAATACATGAAAAGGAATTTGAAGACCACACATACGTTACATATCTACATGATTTTGATGAAAATCGTGAATAAAAAACGACTTGAAATAAGAAAATTTAAATATTTATTTCAACTATCTCTTACTGTAACTACTGAGAAAATCGTCGCTTAATATAAATAATAATAATTTTGAATTTACCTGCATATATAGCACTATAGTTGATATTGCTATATACAGAAGACAATTTTTGTAATTCCGCTCTACAGAAGTGCTGGTAATAGGGATATCACCATAGGATAGATTGGTTGGGAAACCACTCCTAGAGCCTTAAAAAGCCGGAAGATGCTAATAGCCCATCTCAGCCTCCGATACGTAAAAAAGTTATACATAAAAATTATACATATACAAAATAAAATGTATATACATAATACTATTACTGTAAACTAAAAAATTTCAATTGGCCTGAGTACACCACGAATATACCACACGGACAAGTTTTAGGAATGCAGATTTTCTTGCATTCTGATAAGAAAGATTTTAAATTTAAAAAAAATTTGAAATATTTTAAATCTCACAAATGCGCGAACAATTTTCTTTTAGTAAATTTAGTATCTTATTCACTCTTCAGCGAGATTCACTTATTATTTTATTGTTACTTGCACTATCTCATTTTATCATTTTTTTAAAAAATTTCAAAGTTCTTTCAGTAATGAATAAAATATTAATTAAATAATACTTTTTGTACCTGAGCTATAGTCATTATTAAAATATAATTTAAATTCCGGACAAGTTATCATACACATAAATTTCTTCTGTTCAAAACAACAAAAACTTTATAAAGAAGTTTGTCATAAAATTTAAAGATAGTTGATTCCTTAATGTTGAATGAATATTTTTGTCAAACTGTACAGTATTATTCAAATATCAACCCGAACGTGACATAAATTTAAAATAAAACAATTATCATTGCAAAAATTATGGAATTAAAAAACTGTGCACCAATCGCCAAACAAAAAACAATTTTTTCTTTGTATTTTTCTTAAAGAGTAAGTGATTTTTTACGGATCGTGTATATGTACGCAAAATATGCATTATTTTATTAAAAGTATGTGATAAATTTCTTGTTCACTTCATTTTGAACATTTTTACAATACTTTAGCATGTAGGATTTTGTCGTCCGCAATGGCCAACAACGGATTTTTTATACTCCTGTAAAGCTAAAAAGTGGACAAAGCTATTTTCTTTCGTAAAATATTTATAGAATTGAGATGTAAAAATCTTGGTTAGAAATATATTCACATCATCCCTTATTTAAAGTCTATCTAAAATTTTTTAATCTATTTAAAATTCTCTCGTTTTAGGCTTTTTTGAGAAAATTTTGGTTTTTTAAAATACAAAAATTACAAGTTTATAAAACACAAAAAATTGTGAGCCTTTCATATTCAATTTCTTTTAAAGTTTAATGTAACTGAACCAATCGTTATGAATTCTATCCTAAATGAAGAAGCTTCTACAAAATTACAAAAAAGAAAAGTTGATAATTCTTGTCTTCTGGTAGAAAAAAGTTTAGATGGATTATACATACATACATACATACATATATATGTGTGTGTTACAGGAAAAATATTTTGTGATTTTTATCGAAATGCTTATGGAATGCCGAATTCCAAACTTGGTTGATTTTTATGCTTTGTTTACATTTTTTTTTATAGAAAAGGAAAAACCCTGCATTTAACAAATTTATTACAGTGCACATTGCTATTGTTAACACCCGCATTTAGAGCTCAAAACCTTTTGTAGTTATAAGATTGTTGTAACACTTATCATTTTTTCTTTTTTGTGTAAATGCTAAGTACCTTGATGGTTTAATGAACTTGTAATTAAAACAACGTAACTTTAGTACATTCTGTTTCAAAAGATTAATGCACAAAGAAAATTCTTCAACTAAATATGTGAAGTATGTATGTATATATATATGTATATGAATTCGATTGATATGACTAATTTCACAAGTATGAAGTTACAAAATTTTAGTCTAGTTAAATGGATTGTTGTCTTTTTGAAGCGCCACAATTTTATGTAAACCTAGTTTCATTTCCTACTTCTGAAAAACATGAAAACCGAGTATTTTAATAACATATTTAATGTAATCAATAAATTTATGCTCCAAAATAATAAATTTAAACGTAGATTTAAATTTTAATTAAATTATTTGGTTGGATAACATTTTTATACTTTTCATTTTTTCTATAGGTTTCCTTACACAAAATGCGGCAGCTTTATAAATTAAGAAATTATTTTTATATTTTATTAATTATAGCATTTCTAACATGTGTTGAAAGTCAAAGAATTTGCCGGTAAGATTACAAAATTAAATTTCTTTTTATGCAGAAAGATAAATAAATTTCCATCACTTTTATTTTAAGATATAAAGACAGATGTATTACTTTCCCAGATGAAAAAGAATTATATCAATCACAAGTTCCAGTTTTTAGTCCTATACCAATTACAACACCATTATATAGACCTCAACAGAGTCAGCAACAACAACAATTCATATTTTCACAACCATCTAGAGAAGAGCATCAAACTTTATTACAGAACAATCAACCATTACAGCAAACAATCAGAGAACCTATAATTCCGCAGTATAGTCATTCCGATAGCACAATAATTAATTATGATTCTCCGATTGCTAAAAATGTTTCCTTAAGTATATTGCATTTAGCTCAACAATTTAGCCGACATTTTCAAAGTAATTCATTAAATGGGGAACAAATATTTTCCCCTATCTCCATTTTCTCTGTTTTACAATTACTTTTGGCTGGAGCAAATGGAAAAACTTATAATGAATTAAATCAATTCTTATCATATCACTCTGATATGGGTACTTCTTCATATCAGGAGGAATTTGGTAAATTAATAGAAGATTTAATACTTCATGAAACAGAGCTTAAAAGGCATAGACCAGATGCAGAATGGAAAACATCTGTAAATAAAAACGAAATGCAAGAAAATAGAGAACCGAAGAATGTAAAGTAAGTATACATACTTCATAAATCACTTAATTTAAAAATTTTAAAGCAATTCAAGAGCCATCTTATTACTGAAGGAAGAAGGGGCAATGTTATTGTTGGAAACATTTTAATTTTATAACTAAACTAAACTTTTTATAAAATTTCAGCGATAATACACAAAAAGTTAAATTAGCAAATGGAATTTTCATTCAAAATGGTTATCCTTTACGTTCAATATATCAAAGAGTTGTCGAAGAAATTTACAAAAGTGAAATTGAAGCATTAGATTTTAACCAAAAAGAAAATGTAGTAAATTATATCAATAATTGGGTCAATCAAAGAACCTATGGCAAAATACCGTCAATAGTTGACAAAAGTGGAATTAATCGTGACACAAGTATGATAATGGCATGTGCTATATACTTCAAAGCATTTTGGGAAAAACCATTTATTAGTGGGGGAACTATGGTGTAATATTTGTTCTTTAAAAAATATTAAAAATTTATTGCAACATCAAATTGTTTTCGAATATTTCAGTAATGATTTTTATCCTGATGGTCCAGCTGGTCCAAAAATTAAAGTTAATATGATGGCCAATGGTGGAGTTTTTCCCTATTACGACGATCCAGAATATAGTAAGTTTTTAAGTCATAAACTTAGTAAGTTTACAGGTTTATTTTTAATTTTGAATTATACTTTATACATATAATATAAAAGACTAACTAAGAATTTTTCTTTATATTTTAAAATTACACACGCAACAGAAATAAAAGTAATAGGATTTCCTTATAAAGATGGCCCAACAACGATGTATATTTTTCAACCATATGAATCAACAAGAGAACGATTAAGGCAAATGCAAGAATTATTAACACCGGAAGTTATAGAATACATGATTTCACAAATGAAGAAAAAAACAGCTGTTTTTGTTTTTCCCCGTTTACATGTTGCAAACTCATTTAATTTAAAATCTACTTTATCAAATATGGGATTACATTCCATATTCTCAGTTAGAACTAGTGATTTATCTTTGATTTCGGAACTAGTACATCAACCATTTGAATCTCAAAGAAATACAGAAAGTTCTAGACCAATTTACAAACAAACAACTGGTTCTCCACAATTACAAGATAATTCACACTTTCAGCACGTTGTACAGCCGATATATAAACAACCAAATCCCACACGCGGGTCTGATATTATATTTTTGAGTAGATTTGGAGAAACTGAATCTGAATTAAATAATACAACCGAACATATCTTAGATGCAAATTATGTTACGCCTACACCTTCAACAAAAGAAAAAAGTAGAAAGAAACGGGCAGTTACATACAAAGTCGAAAGAGAAGACAAACGTAAAGATCAGCCCTTAAGGTTTAAAGATTTAGTCATAAACAAAAGAATAACAAAGTTAAATAAAGGAAAAAAAACTACAAGATCTCGAAGACAAGTTTCTCAAATAACAACACCCAATAACCTTTTACAGTATTTGGATTCAATAAGAACCAATCAAAATTTAATAAGGCCAGATTTATATGTAGATGACATTGTCCACAAAGTTGATTTAGTTGTTAATGAAGAAGGAACAGAAGGAGCTGCAGCTACTATCACTTATTTAAGAAGATCCGGTACGGACATTGTTTTTCGAGCTGATACACCTTTTTTGATAATATTACGCCATGATCAAACCAAAATTCCATTGTTCTACGGAGCAATCTTCGAGCCCTCTTTTAATTAAAAACCAATTCCAAATAATATTAATGATATTAATTCACAATATATATGTATGTACCTACATAGGAAATATTTTTTTAAAAATAAATTTTTATAAAATCCAAAACCAGATGTATATTTTGTTAACCCAAAATGATCATCTCGAATATCAACATACTTGCATACCAATATGTTAGTTTAATTATCATATCAAATCTAAATGGTTATACAAGGAAACATGTTCTCTTGTTACTTTAAAATAAGAGCATAAAGTAAAAGTTGCATTAGCATAATGGCGGGATCTAAAGGCTAAGTTAATTGAAAGAAATACTAATTACATACATTATGTATATATTATATATGTATACATAGTATGCATATATTAGAATATTTTTTTTCTGGGAAAGCATTCACGTTTTTTTCTAATTTTGAATTTGAAATTTTGACACCAACATGGGAAGGAGGCGGTAGAAAAATTTTGTTCAGACAAAATAAACTATTTACGTATGTATATAATATGGTCTACAAGCTATTAAACTTCTAAAAATTGTCATTAAAAAAAAAAAAAACAAAATTTTGATATTTTAAAGAAAAACTGACTCAAGATAACTGTTAATTTGAACGTTATTTTTGAAAGTGCGGTATTAAAGGCGGTAAAAAAAGCCGTTAGTTAAGCAATTTTTTTCATAATTTTGCCTAAAATGAGCAAGAAGCAATCCATTTTGTAAAAGAAATGTCGAAAGACAAAATTTGCCGAAAATTAAATCCTCTTGGTCTATAACTTTAGCTAAAAATTATATTTATTAAGTTTGAGTTCTTAAACTCGTACTCACCTTTATTTTACTCACCAACTGCTGATACTGTAATGTTTCGTAATCAAAGTGTTTACAATGCGCTATTCAAAACATAGCTCGAAAAAATTAAAGCTTGTTCATCAAGCGCTGTGGTACGTTTTTGTAACCCAGATATATATTACATATATATAAATACGAATAAAATAAAATATGATTAAATGATATGACTAAATAGAAGCGTAAAATTATCTCCGTTCCGTGACTTAAAAAATGCCCTTAAAACGTAAATATCAGGAAGAAACATTTTAAAATGTTTGATGAAAGCTTTTAAGCTTAACATCGTACACTGCTCAAAAATGTTTAGTATACGTAGCCAATACGTAATTAATAAACGTAAATCCCTGAACAAAAACATTGGACAAATTTTTCGTAATTTTTTTCAATGCATTTATGAGTTTCAAATTCATTTTTATTTAATTATTTTGACTTCACATTAATTTTGCTTAATTAATTTAGTGTTTCAGTTACACAAATTCCCCGTATTGGAATCCTGATTTCTACCGCTCATTTCGCATCGTACCCTTTTTCTTTTCAAATAATTCACTCACTCTCTGAGTTTTGGGAAAATAAACAGTAAAGTCTTAACACGTGGAATGACATAAATCGTTGGGTTTGGCTATAAAATTTTGTTTTTTTCTGACACACTTTTAGAGCTCTTGCTGTCATTTTTTTTAATCTTTTTAAAAACTTTATTAAAACGAAGCTGAACGGTTTTAGAAAATGTGACTACCCAAGATTTATAGAAAAATAAACAATAAAATATGTGGGATGATACATCCGTAAATATTTGATCGCAGTTATAGGTTTTAGTTAATTATAATTTTTAAAAAGTTTATATTAAACTATAAAATGTCTTGGATTCATTGTAATAAATGTTTTTTAAAGGATCAAAATTTTAATGAAATTCTATTTTTACAATGTGGTCATTTGTTATGTAGAAAATGCATTTCTAAGAAATGTCTAATATGTTATAAAACTACCAAATACGTAACATTACCTAAAAAGGAAATAATGCCGACAATGGATTTATATTTTCAAAATCCAATAAATTATGGAAAAAAATTACTATCAATTTTAAAATTTCAATTTGAAAATCGAATAAATTTGGAAGTAGAAGGAGCGAAATTATTTAAAAAAATAAAGCAAGTTAAAGAAAATTGTCAGAAAGTTGATCAGGAAATCAAAAACGCTCAAGAAGAAATGAGAAAAGAATATTTACGTATTAAAAAAATGAAAGTGTTTATTGAGCAAACTAAAATGTAAGCTTTTGCATGTGCATGTGCAAGTCACTTAAATAGTTATAAAACAAATACATTTTTTGTTGGAATATTTATTAATTATTAAAAAGAAACATACATTATACATGTAGGTACAAAAATGTACGAAAATCAAATAAGGATGGCAGTCAAGATTCCGGTGTTCATGGTATTCAAACTTCTTACAACACATTACAAGATACATCTTTTCTGTTACCATCAACAGTGGATTAACTTTTATTTATAATAGTAAATTTAATTTTAAATTGGTTTAATATTGTTTTCAATGTACAATTCAACTAAAATTTAAAAATCATCTAAAACATTTCAACTTTTACGGAATGATAATTTTATTTAATACCTTAACGATTATGTACCTATTTAATGAGATAATATTACATATTAAGAATTATATAATCTTATTTATGTATTATGTATACAAAAAGAATTATTATTTTTTTTTCCTCTTTAAAAGATTTATAATGGTAATAAATATTTAAAGGTAATATTTTAAATACTACGATCATTTTAATAATCCATTCCCAATTTCTATATGAATTAAATGAAAATACAAGGATTGAAGTTAGTTTTGTGTACCTACACACTTTGCCTACGGGTAAGAACATAATGAGGAATATAGCATTTCAGTTCCCCTTTCATAGAACATTTTCCAGCTCAATATATTCTGCATATTATAACATTTTTTCTTAAATATATTACATTTGTATGTGCATACACATGTAACTTTGGTAGGTGTACATATTATTTTAAAATACAAAATATTTTTGCTTATGTATGATCAATATGCAATCATTAACTTGTTACATTTATCAATTTGTTTTAAGTAAAGCTTCGCAATTTTCCAAGACTTCTATTAGCGTGTCTAACATTTTTCGATCCAATTCCATAAAAATAGAAGATTCCTTTGGTTTCTTTTCATTTTCATTACTATAAATACAATTTAAAGTTAACGATGCTATTTCTCTACGTAACGATGGATTATTGCTATCACCAAAAACAAATCTTATATCCCAATCAAAAGATTGTAATAATTTGTAATGTTTTGAGTTATGTTCCCTCAACAAAAAAACAACTACCTCAGACTTTCGAGTTTTCAAAACTGCCAATATAGATTGTTGTAAGTCCAAGCTTAAATGAGAAAACTGTGATAAAAATTCAACTTCGCTGACTACGTTTAAAACGTAAAGTTTAAAGGCATTAGCGATAATTTCGACAGTCTTTTCAAATTGCTCAACGCTAGAAAAACCATATTTGTGACAAGATTTCAATAAAATCTGTTCATCTTTATCTTCTGTTGAGCCTATAAGGTGGTCAATTGAATGGTGTAACACCTAAAATAAAACATTATTGCAATTTCTGATTTTCATAAAAATTTTTTTCCTACTTCGTTTAATATTTCTTTATTATCAATATTCAACATGAATTCATGCATAGTTTCAATATTTTTTTAATTATATTACTGTAAAGATTGAAAGTTGTACCATTAAAACTTAAAAAACGCAAAAATTTATTTTAGACGAAACTTTCATTTGTCCTGTAAAAGTAAAATCACGATTTTCATTATTAAAGTTTCCACGGATGAACTTTTGATAAAAATGTTTATATTTATTTCTTAAATTTCAACTTTTTTACTAAATAACACATTATTCCATAGACGAATTCAATTAATAGACTGGCATCTGTCTACTAATTATAAGATTTTTAACCTAAAATGCAGAGCAGCGTTGCGAAGTTTGACAGTATTAAAATTTTATGTAGTAAATTATACATAAACGACTAAGCGTCATATTATTAGAAAATTAAACAAAATTAAAAAAGAAAATAATTTTTAAGAATTGCTTTAATCGCCCTTTGATTAAATAGTAAGCGTAATTTTTCTCGCACCTGTCAATCTTTAAAACACATTTTCGGATTTGAATGGTTATGTAGCTTAAAATTGAAAACTCCGCTATTTTTTTATTTTTGGAATTCTTGAGTTTTCATTATTTTTTACGTTTATATAATATTTTCAAACATTAGCAGAAGAATGAAATAACAATTTTTTTATGTAAAATATTTTCTAACAAACTATATTCTACAAACAAAATAATGACTACATTTGACAATTTAGAACAAAAACTTAATTTGACAAATATCAAACTATAATCAAATTTTTAATTTTTTTCTTTTAATAACGTCATGTAATTTTTATCTTATAAGAAAGCTTATCTAGAATAAGGGAAATATGAATTTAATTTCTATGCTTCTTTTAAAGTTTTTTATTTATCTCATACTGTAGACTCACCTTTATATATTGAAGTTTCGACTATCACAAATTTTCTATTTTTACTATTTAGAGGGCCATCGCTTGACGTCTTACATGACAATTACTAATAATAAAGTTCAGAAGTAGTTGTAGACATATTTGCTTATACTACTATTTAGGAAAATTAATAGTTATTATAACGATTTCGGTGTGAACTTGTTTAATATGATATTTTGCGTTATTATTTGACGTTCTTTGTATTTTAGACACACCAAATAGAATAATACAAAAGTATTTTTGTAATTTAACGTTTTGCTAAAATGGATAGCCAAACTCGAAGTCAAATGTGGAAACATTGGGAAAAAAGTGGAAAATCCGATTTCTTAAAATTCATGAAATCCACTGTTAAAAGTCAAAATGCAGATCTGTTTTTTAAGAGTGAAAATATTATTTCAGGCATTACAAGAGCTATTTACGAATTGGTTTGGCAGTGTCTTTTAGGGCGTTTAAAAAAGGAAGCGGTGCTTAACGCTTTATCAGAAATATCACACTATCACTGGGATATACCAACAATAATTTTAGATGTAATTAATATCGTTGATGCAGAAACCTCAATTGTTGGAACTGATGGATATCAAGATGAACGTGCTATATTTTGCGAAATTACAAAGGATATTGACAGTTTTATGTCTGAAAAACTACTAAAAGAACGATTGGAAATTGACACATTGCAAGATTCTGGTACAGTCAAACCGAAAGTGTTTTACACAAAATTCATTAAGATAAAAACAAAATTATATTACAAGCAACGTAGATTTAATTTATTTAGAGAAGAAAGTGAAGGCTATGCCAAACTGATAACTGAGTTAAATCAAGAATTTGACGAAAAAACTTTTGGATCTTCTAATGCTATGGATATGATAAAATCTTTGATTGGTTGCTTTAATCTTGACCCTAATCGCGTACTGGATATTATATTAGAGTCTTTCGAAACGAAACCTGAAAACCATACATTTTTTATTCCACTGTTACAGTCCTACATGCCAAGTGGTTCAATAATTTGTGAAGTTCTAGGATATAAGCTGAGAAATTTTTCAAATTCGGTTAACTCAACTCCAAGATCGTTATTTGATATTACTGCATTACTTCTTAAATACTTGGTTATTAAATTGGATGATATTTACATATGGCTTAGCCCGACTGACGCTGAAATAACTGCGGATTGGGAAAAAGAAATGCTAGAAGCTAAAGAATATGTTCGAAAATTAAACATTATTTCAACTAATAAAGACAAGGAACCTGTAGAAATTGAACCGGAGCCAACAGATAAGGAAGATAAATATATAAAAAATCAAAAATTTGGATTATTTGAATCACTTTTGAAAGTAGGAAATTGGAAGGATGCGGAAAAATTGATTAATAAATTACCAGAACAATGTGTTGTTGTTCATGAACCAATTGCAAAGGCATTATGTGAGTTAATTCACAGATCAATCAACAGTATATATTCAAAAAAATGTTCTGAATTATTTGCACCTGTTCAATCTGTAAGCAAAAAGGAAAAAAGTTTGTTAGACATCTATTTTGACTTTTCTATGGAAGCTAAAACATTTAACGAGCTAAGCAGCTATGTATTTCCAATGGTTAATACATTAGGACCATCATTGCATTATGATCCTGTACTAATATACAAACTAATAAGATTAACGAGGACAATATTATCTGAAATGAATGTGGATCACTTAAATTTACCTGTTGCAAATACTGATGAAGAGAAAATGTATTATGATGTCTTAAATCTTATTGATTCATCAATTTTACCAGCTTTATCTTATTTAGACTGCAATTGTTGTATTGCTGAAGAAGTATGGACGGTTATAAAGTATTTTCCATACAATTTAAGATATGCACTTTACTCGAAATGGAAAAATGAATCTTATTTAACACAACCTGAACTTATAATACGACAGGGAAATACTAAGAAAAATATAAAAGCGCTGATGAAACGAGTTAGTAAAGAAAATGTAAAACCGGTGGGGCGCTTAATTGGGAAACTAAGCCATTGCTCTCCTGGATTTTTGTTTGATTATATTTTATTACAAATACAGATTTATGATAATTTAATTGGACCAGTAGTTGATTCACTAAAATATTTAACATCTCTTTCGTATGATGTGTTAGGTTATTGTTTAATTGAATCACTAGCTTTAGCTGATAGGGATCGCTTTAAAGACGATGGTACATCACTATCAATGTGGTTACAGAGCTTAGCTAGTTTTTGTGGATCAATTTACAAAAAATATAATATAGAATTAAGCGGTTTATTACAGTATGTTGCAAATCAATTAAAATCCCAACGTAGCTTAGATTTATTAATACTTAAAGAAGTTGTACAGAAGATGACAGGTAATTGAAAAAGATAAAGCCAGATTTTAAGGAAGTTAATAATTTGCAATTTTTAAATAATTTTTTTTAGGGATTGAAGCTACAGAAGAAATGACAAATGAACAATTGAACGCAATGAGCGGTGGTGAATTATTACGAGGTGAAGCGGGATATTTTAGTCAAGTCCGAAACACAAAGAAATCTTCACAAAGATTGAAAGAAGCGTTAGCTAATAATGATTTGGCAGTAACCTTATGTTTGTTAATGGCTCAACAAAAACACTGTGTTATATATCGTGAGACAGCTAGAAATCATTTAAAATTGGTTGGAAAACTTTATGATCAATGCCAAGATACGTTAGTTCAATTTGGTACATTCCTAGGGTCAACTTATTCTGTAGACGAGTATGTCGAACGTCTACCCTCAATCATAAAAATGTTGCAAGAATATCATATACACTCCGATGTTGCATTTTTTTTAGCGAGACCAATGTTTACCCACCAAATTAATCAAAAGTATGATCAATTACGAAAGTCTGACCCTAATTCAAAGAAGTTAACAACATCTCAAAAAATGTCCAAATATTTGGAAGCCACGTCTGCCATAATGGATCCTATTGTAGAGTCAGTAAGGCCATTACACGGCCCTAAAGTTTGGGAAGACATAAGTCCGCAATTCTTGGTTACTTTTTGGTCTTTGAGTATGTATGATCTTCAAATACCGCATGACAGCTATCAAAAAGAAATAACCAAAATAAAACAACTTTCTGTACAAGCCTTAGACGCAAATTTTTCTAAAGGCAAAAAGGAGCAAGAACGTTATATAGCTTTGATGGAGAAACTTCAAGATGAAAAACGAAAGCAACAAGAACATGTTGACAAAATACATCAAAGGCTTGCTCAAGAAAAAGACAACTGGTTTTTATCCCGCTCAGCTAAAGCTGCAAAAAATGAAACCATAACTCAATTTCTTCAGTTATGCTTGTTTCCACGTTGTACATTTACCGCTCTTGATGCAATTTATTGCGCAAAATTTGTTCATACAATTCATACTTTGAAAGCCGCTAACTTTTCGACTCTTTTATGTTATGACAGAATATTTTGTGATATAACGTATTCTGTAACATCATGTACTGAAAATGAAGCAACCAGATATGGTAGATTTTTATGTGCAATGCTAGAAACTGTTATGAAATGGCATTCGGATCAAAATGTTTTCAACAAGGAGTGTGCAAGTTTTCCCGGATTCGTAACGAAGTTCCGTGTAAGCAACCAATTTTCTGAAGCAAATGATCAAGTGGGTTATGAGAATTACAGACATGTTTGCCATAAATGGCATTATAAAATTACTAAAGCTATTGTTGTATGTTTAGATTCTAAAGATTATATGCAAATTCGTAATGCTTTAATAATTTTAATGAGAATTCTACCTCATTTTCCAGTTTTGACTAAGCTTTCTCAAATAATAGAAAGAAAAGTAGAAAAAGTTAGAGAGGAAGAAAAAAATCAAAGGCCCGACTTATTCGTTTTAGCATCAAGTTATATTGGTCAACTTAAAACGAGGGCTGCCAATATGATCAAAGAAAGCGACTTCCACCAGGTAAGTTTATTTATGTAAATGTATACTTTCTTTTCTAAAATTAATAAAAATAATGGTACTTCTACATTAGATGTTAGCAATACCCACAAAAAATTACTTTAAAAAATAATGAATAAAAAATGTTAATCAAAAATTCTAATCGTGTGTTTGAAGGTATCCGAAAAACCCCAAAGAGATACGATAGTGGTACAAGATATAAAGCCAGTCGCTCCAACAAGCTCCTTAAACGGTGAAATAAAATTAGATAAACGTGAAAAAGATAAAGGTGACAAAAAAATAATCAAAAACTCTATAAATAATGACAAAGATATAAAATTGATAAACTTGACTGAAATCCTCGATAAAGATATAAAAAAAGAAGTTAAAGACACAAAAAAAGAAAAAGAAGAAAAAATTAAAGAAACAAAAATTAAGGACGATAAAGATGATGATATAAGGCGAAAAGAAAAGGAAAGAAGGAAGGAATATCGCTTAAATGATTCACCAATTTTTGTTGATGCGCCCCATACAAATGACTATTATTTTATTGACAAAGAACATGATCTTCGTGTTGAACGAGAGCGTGAAAGGGAAAAAGAAAAGGACAGAGAAAGAGAAAGGGATCGAGACTTAAGTTCAGTATCAAATTCTAGTAATGGGTCTCTTCAAAGAAGAAGTCAAGAGCATCAAGATTTTGAAAAAGAAACAAAAAGACGTAAGGTTGAAAGTCAAGCTGGAAGTAGTAGCAATACTTCAAGTTTAAAGAAAATTCAACAACAACAGCAACTGCAACAACAACCACAGCACCATCAGAATGATCCTGAAATTTATGAAATAAAAAAAGAAAGAAGTTCCAAAACAAAAGATCGCAAAGAAAAAAGCATGGATGATGAGAAGGAATTATTACGCAAAGAGAGAAAGCTTGGAAGAAAACGAGAAAGATTAGAAGAAAATTCTTCAAATGAGCATAAAAGAAGGCGTGGTACTGAAGCGAATCCAAATGGTGCTGATGATGAGTCCAGTAGAGGAGATAAGTATCATTCAAGAGAGAAATCACCGCATGGTAGTAGAGAAGCAAAAGATAGATCCTCACATGATAAGTTTGAACGAGAAAAATCATATACTTTGACCAAATCTACAAGGTCAAGGGTAGCATATTAAATAAAATTTTACAAATTTCTTAAAATGAAACAAATAAGATTGGTTTATATAAAATAGTTATTTTAAGTTTTTTTATTTGCAATGTTGTACGGCCCTTTTAATCACTGTTCACTTTCATATCCATAAATGTATACTTTAAGGAATAAACGAGGGTTAATAAAAATATTGAGTATTCTCAAAACTTATGAGGAGATTCCATGTCCAAATTATTAAGAGATCATACATAATTTAAATGATACTTAAAATAGTTTTTGCTTTTTCTTTTCCCTTAATTTTCATAAATGATTGCAGAAATCATTATCAAAAATTGTCTTGCAAAATAAGAGCTTCATTAGAAAATGTGTATGAAAATGCATATACGGATGTACATTCATAATGTCAAAAATCGCAAAAATTAATAAAATATTTATTATAATTACTTCCTTGTGCAAAACAAAGATGTATAGCTGGGTTAATTTTATTTTCAAGCAGAAATGCCTCGTTAAGCTCTTTTAATTTATCCTTTTTAGTTTTTTATTTAATCATATAGTAATGGATGAGAGTAATGATTCTATTAACTATTGCTATCGTACCACTGAACAAAAAGAGGCGCATATTAATTAGATGTAATAAATAGTCAAAGCAAAATATTACGGGAAAATGCGCTTAAGAATTCAAAGCTCCTAAAGGCAAAAACTTCTACAAAAATATCTTAATTTGAAAAAGTTTATATATGTATTGAAAAATGCCCACACTTATTATTTAATTCAAATGGAACCAACTTTTTTTTAATTTTAATTTATTTTAATTATTTATTTTAGTAGTATTCGTATAAAATTAATTAAGAGCACAGAATAAATAATTAAAAGCGTTTAATTAAAACCTCAATCGACTGTATAATTTCGACAATTATTACCCTTCAAAGCAAGCGCATGAGCCATTGCGACAGGGAATAAAAAAATTTGTATTTATTTAGTAATTATTATAAAAATTTAGCTTGTCAGTAGATATATACATATGTATATATATTTCCATATTCTAATACAAATTTCGAGTGCTCAATTAAAATGAATAAAAGATTTTGAGCAACGTGAGCTTATATGAAACGTAAGTCACTTTTGCTGTTAATTTGCTCGAAAATCATTATATTTTTTGTTTAAGGATTATAAATCTAGTTGTACTGTCTTTTTATGGAGTAAATTGGATAAATTGTGTATAAAAAATTTTTTTTCTAAATTAACTGTAGGTATTTTTGATAATTTTATTCTTTTCTAGCACAAAATTTGTAATTTGTTCTAGAAGTATTTTTGCAAATGCAGCAAGGGTTTGACGGTACATATTTTTTTTTAAATAGAACTGCAAACTAAGGTCTTAAAAAGTACATTTTATTTTTTTTTTACGCAAGTAAAAATAAATAAATTTTTATTTATTCAATACAGACTTATTATTAGTGCAAAAGAAAATAAAAAATATAGGGATCGAGGCAAACATTTCATGAAATTTCTAAAGTGGTCATTACTTTGCTTTAAATATTTTCTAAAAAAAAATTCTAGATATTTTCATAAATATAATATGCACTGCGAAACAAAATAACTTTGAAACGCAATGCTGTCAAAACATAAGGTAATAAATATACATACAATATATTTCCAACTATGCTATAACATCAAAACAGTTCATATGAATTAACTGTGTTACTCATACTAATTTCGTTATATAGCAAAAATATAACAATATTTATGAACTGTTTTGAATTGCAATTTTTGTTTAGACAAACATAAATAACGTATAGTACTGGTTTAGTTTATATATCGCGGTATTTCGCGTTTACGAGAAGTCTTTTTTTTAAATTGTTCGTCTAGGTTCCTATTTTTCAAATTGAATAAAAAATATGACTCTGAAAACACTTCATCGACAAGTGCAAAAAAAGTAGCAACTTTGCAGTTTTTGCAGTTTTTTATTGCTACTAAAGCAACTTAAGTTCTAAGTTAGAAATGTAAATACTCACTGCATTTTTAAAAACACCCTATATTGCCAATTATATATTGTGTAAATTAATCTCCATGCTGCATTTTGGACTAGACTTTTATAAATGCAGAATGTATAAAGTGTGTCAGTAATTATGGTTTTATAGGGAAGTAATGACGGAAACTACAAAAAAAATAACAAACTAACGAAATTTACTGATTTAGAGGGATAAAAGGTGAAAATAAATAAACAATGATAAATTGTTTTATATTGAAAGTTTTGTGTCACATTTATTAAAAATAAAAAATATCAGTTTATGTTATATATGTATATTTTTAATCGTATGGTACTTAAAAAATTAGAATATTTGAGTTTTTTTATTTTTTTTTTTATTTTTTTTTTGTTTAACCAATAACAATTTACATCGAATTTTGTTTATTTTTATTCTTTTTTTTATAATTATCAAATATTCTATATAATTAAGATTAAACTTATGCTTTTTTCTTTAATTTTTTTTTTTTGCGAATATTGGATATAAATTTACTTATTTTCGTTTTGTTGTTTTTTTTTTTCATTTTTTTTAATTTTTGTAATGAAAGAGTATTGTTATTATATATATAATTATTATTAAAAAAAAAAAAAAACAAATAGGATGGTTTTTTTCGATAAATGTCTAAATATCTTAATTTTCTTTTATTATTTTATTAAATATTTTTTTCGATTTTAATTCTTATATCCTTCTTTTATCTTTGTTTTTTTTTATCATTATATATTTTGTGTATTTTGTTGTAATAAACTATTTTAAATTTTGAAATGTATCTGTATTTCTTTGTATTTTTTATTCTAGTTAGGTTTATATTTAATACATTTTATATATATTTATATATATATATATATCTATATTTATATAATTTTTTTTTTATTTATTTATTATTTTTTTTAATTTAATTTTTAAGATCGATTTTTTTTATGCAAAAAAGTATATAATATTCGTTTCAAAAATGAATTTTTAATGCTAAAATAAAAATAGATTTGTTTTTATTCAGCAACTGCAGTAGCTCCTTGCGTTATAACTTCGGTACCAACTTTTTCAATTTGTTGATTTTCAGATTTAATATCCTGAAATAATAAAAAAAGAATAAATAAAATAGATTTCAATAATTTGTATGTTATTCGAATACATAGAAAAAAATTAGGAACAATATCTGTAATAAACTCATATTATATTAATGGATTCACAAACTTAGATCATGCATCAATGTTGATGGGAATTTTTCTAATAAAATATAACAATGATGAAGTGCAAAAATATGTCAAAGTACTAATTTCGAACGATTCTCTTTATGCGGCATAGATTTCTGTGCCGTGTGTATATTAGTTTACGAGATCGAAACGGTTGAATTAGGCTGAATGCATGGTTGAAGTAGCAAAAAGGCTAAGAGCGTTCTAAGAATCAATATATTGATAAAGCACAAATATGGTATAAGTACATTAGTTGGAATTATACCACCTCATAAAAGTTTATAATTATTCATAAATTTATATTTTAATTTTATAAACTCAAAATTTATTAAAACTCATTTGAAGCCAACAACTAATTCATTTTATTAGAAACATTTAAAATATTTGACTAGGAAATTTTGAATTCTTTTATCTTAAAATCCCATTGAAAATTAAATGATTGAATTTGTGCTTGAATTATTAGTTAACGAACTAAAATTACGTCATTAAATTTAGCAATTTAGTACATTATTTTTATAAATATTTATAAAACTTACTTCAATAGTCTTATGATCAACTCCGTTTAAGCTTTCTGTCGCTGATATTTCAGCTACTTCGTCGTGATGTTCATCTACCCCATTTTCCTAAAATAAAGGACAAAGGAATATCAAAGTTAGTCACAAAACATCAAAAGATTTACAACAAAAAAGCATTCTTTCAAAATTAAATTAATATGTTATTTTTATATTTTTATTAAGTACTTTCATTTTTAGAAGAATTATAATAAAATTAAATTTAAAATAAAATTTAGAAAAACCAAAAATGAAAATTATATAAATTCGAAAAGTTGTTTTAAGAGCAATTGTACATAATTTAATATAACAAGAAGCTACTAGATATTCGGCTTAAAATAGAGGTAAGAGTGTTTTTGCTTAAAAGTTAATTAGAATACGTGTAGAATAAACTATTTTTATATTATAAAATATTTCATATATGTTAAAGAAAATTTCTTTGAAATGAAATGTTTAACAATATTGAATTTCTTCAATATTAGCACATAATGCTCTAAAAAGGTTTTATAGACCAATTAACAAATCGTGAAAATAGTAATTACTACTACGAGAAAATCATTACTTACTACGAAGAAAAAAAACCAAAAAAAAATATATAAAGATATTCAAGATTTATCTAAGCATTTCTATATAGGAAGGACACTTTAAATATTAAATAAAAATTCTCATTCGAAATGTTGGAAAAATCGTGAATACCTTCAATTGAGGTTGATAAAAAAAAAATAATAAAAAGAGAAATAAAATTACCTTTAAAAAATTTTCAATGTATTTTTTTTTTTAAATGATTTTTTGATTTGTTGAATTTTGATAAGGAAAAAAAAAATTTTTTATTTCTTAATCCAAATGAATTTTCCAAAAATAATGAAACCTCTTATTATTCAATTCAAATATGTAAACACAAAATATTATTTAAAACATAAAATTATAGTTTTTTGCTATGAAAAAATGAAGGATACCAAAACTAAGTAAAATTGAATATTTTCATTTTGCATAATTCTTCTAAAAATGTTTTTGCCAAATTAAAAAAAAAAGCATATTAGTATTTTTCTTTTCAATTTTTTAAGTATTTGAAACGATTTCAAATACATAACAGTTTTCTTTCTTTTAATTATTTTTAGCTTTCTTAATTATTTTATTTAGTTTAAGAAAATCTTATCACTTAACTATCATGCATATTGTCAAACTTATTATAATTTATTGGATCAGGGACGTTAAATTATGATAAAATTATTGTATAGTGTACTTAAAATTATAAGAAAATAGTGAATTTAATGAAATTAATATAAGCAATGAGCATGTTGTTAGTTCAAATCATTTTGTCGTATTAATTTTAATAAAGGATAATATATGTAGGTATGATTCATGAAATGTTATAAAAAAATAAAAAAAAATAATAATTACAAGTACATAAATTGAATATTATTTTCTAAAATACATAAAAAAATATGTATATAAGCTTGATCAAATTAAATTGCCTATCAATTACAGTTTTTAATTTAAATTTAATAATTTTTAATTAATTCTTAAAATGTCACAAAATTTTATTTATATTAATTTGTAATAATTTTAAATTAATTTTATAACTTTCCTGTTAATTGTTATTTCATTTAACTTTATCGATTTAAGTGACTTAATGCCACAAAAATTAAAATTATAAAAAAGTTCTTTGACAAAAATTTTATATAATTTTAAGTTGAAACCCCAAACCAAAATTTGTTAACTTATTTCGTTTATATTGCATCGAAATAGAAAAATTAAATTAATGAATATTGAAGTAAAGTATTTGTATGAATCACGTAATCAATGTACTAAGTAATGTATGTAAAATGTTGTTTAAACTAAACTTATGATTGCGTTTTTTATTTGCAAATTATTAAATTAAATACTTAACAAAAGACGTAGAAAAGAAAGAAAACAGTGAACCAAATAAATTTTAAATACTCAATTAAAATTTAGATATTACGTTATTAAAATTACTTTAATATATTAAATTTTGATCAAGCTTGAGCATAAAAAAAAAAAAAAAAACAAAACCAAAATCACAATTCTTAAAAGCTTAAAAAACCAGTCTTATATTATTTATAATGATTTAATCTAAAAGAAAACAGTCTAAGGAAGTTATGATGGCAATTCATATAGGAAATTTTGTTAATAACTTGATTTGTTTGTTAAATTTTTTTTCAATTTTTAAAATCAAGTCATTTTCTTTATTTTTTTTTTGTGTTTAGTATTTTTGATTTGATGATGAATAACAAATAATTCGTTCACAGGAATGGATTTTTCACAACAACAATGTTACAAATGCAAGAAAACAGCACACATAATTCAACTTTAGTAGTAGATGGTAGTAGTAGTAGTAGTAGTAGTAGTGGTAACAGTGAATGATTTGTAGTTATTTTTATTTATCTTTTCTTTTTTAATTTAATATTAGTGTTCGGTAATAAAAAAAAAATAATCCTTTCTTATATCAGCATCCCAATAATTTTGAATTTGCATTTTTCTTCTAATTAATATTCATCCTTTTATTAGATTTTTTTTCTTATTTGATTATATTATGCTATGATGCTCCACTTTCAGTACCCATTGATTTTATGATTTTAAATTTTTTGTTAAAAATTTTAAAAATTTTACATGATAAGATTTGATGATATTATTTTATGTTAAATGTGCGTGTATTTTGAAAATCACTTGTGTTCTCAATTGTTTAATCAATTGCAAATTTTTATTATTTTTTTTTTTTTCATTAAAATTATAATTGTTTAATAATAAATTTTAATTTTTTCTTATTACAATGAATTTCAGAATATTTAATGATTTTAAATAAATTTTCAATGTTTCTAAATAAAATTTCAATGTAAAAAAATTAATAGTATTATAAAAACTTATAATTTTGAAATTATATGCATTATATTGAAAAACTTAATTTCGATATGCAAATGAATTTGGTGCATACAAAATATGATGTAAAAATGTTTATTAAATATTGATTTTATTTTGTTAAATTCGTTTTTATAACTTAAACGCGAAAAGAAAAAATGGTTTAAAATTTTGTGTTCAGGTATTTATGCATTGAATTTAAAGATTTTTTAGAAATTTTAATTCTAATCTAATCTTAATTTTTTAAAATGAATTCAGTTTAAAATAAATTTAAATTAATTTGCGAAAATAAAAAGCAAAACGAAAAGGAACACAAACAACCAATTTCATAAAATAATTTTTATTTTAATATAATTTTTCATATTAATTATTATTAATTAAGCCACGAAGTAATTTGTCACAACGAACAAAAAAAAAATGAGACAAAAAAAAAGGTGTAGATCAAATTTATAATTTTAATATATTATGAATAATTTCAATAAATTGCTTTTGAATGCAAATCCTTTCAAGTACCGAAAATTCTAAGAGTAAAAGGAAAAATTTATTTCCAATTCATTTTCTAAAAGAATAATAAATATTTCTAAATTCAACAACACCATCAAGCGATATTTAAATTTTTATGGTGTTATTTAAAATAGGAATCTTTTGAGAAAATTTAATTTAGAATTCTATTTAAAAACTAAAATAAAAGAAATTATTGAAATGTTAAAATATAAAAGAATTAAATACTAAATAAGGATATTTTGTTTTTTATGTTAACTATATCTTTTCCAATTCTATCACACTGATTCTAATAGCACATTGAATTTCATATCTGGATTATAAAAAAAAAAATTTAAGAAATGATTATTAGACTATAATTTTAGATCATTAGATTTTGAAAAATTTTCATTTCTTTTTATAGGAAAAAATTTTAATTCGATTTAAATCAAAATCACGAATTATTTTTCAATAGTGATAATTGGAAAAGTTTTAGTTTAACATTAAATTTATTAAATTTGAGCATTATAGTGGTTTAAATGCATATCAACTACTTTACATTTACTACGAGGTTTTTTAAATGTGTTATAAATCTATCATTCGTGTTTACGATAACATGACACTAATCACATTTGGATGTACAAGAGTAGTTATATTGCAAACTTTAATAAAACGAATTTTGATTAAGTGAAAAATTGGTTATTAATAGAAAAAAAAACATGAAAATATATCAATCAATTACAAATAGTGTACCGAAATAATAATTTATGAATCGATAAGTATTAAATACAAAAAAAAAACATTTATTCTTCTCTAAAAATCTTCTAAACGCTTGTGATTTGTTAATAAAATTTGTTTTAATAATAATATATTTTTTCCAAAGCAAAATAAAGTATAGAACAGAAATTAAAAGAGGAAAATTTAATTCGGAAAAAAAAAAAATTAAATAGAAATTAATTGTTTTTCACACTACAAATTTGATAAAACAGGTTAAAAAACGAAAAGTAATTAAAAAAGAACGTTATTATTCTATTTGGTTTTAAATTTTGCAATTAATTTATCGATTATATTTCCTTTTCCTTCTATTTTTGTTTTTGCGCGATTTTTTACTATTATTTTGATGTACCTTTTTCTGGTTAGGAGCATTGTTATTGCTTGTTGCAGTCGCTGTAATTTCATTTTCGTTTATTTCATTTTGTGATGTTAATTCTGATGTATTATTTGATTGGTTGCTAATGTCAGCGCTAATTTTGTTTTCCTCTACATTGGATATCATATTTTCAGATGATGTCAATGCTACTTCTGACTTATTGTCACAGTCTTCAGACTTATTTTCTCTAAAATTTTCCAAATCTATATTTGATTGTGATGATGGTGTTGGTGGTGGTGTCGGTAAATCTTGTTCAATATTTGATTCAATTGAAATTTTTTCTACACAAATATTTTCTCCAGTTTGTTTATTTTCTTCTACATTTTCTTGCAATGGTGGTGGTGGAGACGGTGGAACTTGATTTTCATGAACTTCCTTTGATTGAGATTCGTTATTACTAACTGTCGATGTAACACTTTCAATTAAATCTTTTGATGCTGATGCTACTGTGTCTGTATATTCTTGTATTAGTGCTATCGTTTCAACAATTTCATTGATATCGTTATCAAATTTTGCCGTAGACATTGTGTCTTCTTGTTTTATAATTTCATTAGTGGGTGACGAATTATTGTCTTGTTGTGAACCTAGATCTACTGATGGAGCTAAAATTTCCACCCTTTCATTTGATTCATTATTTTGAGGTGTTTCAGTATTTAAGCTTTTTTCAATTACGTTAGTTAAATTTTCAGCTTGAATTTGATTGTCTTTTTCTTCTGATATCGGTTCTATTTGAGTTTTAGAATTTTCAATAGATTCTGGTAAACTTTTGGCTAACTCACTTTCATGTTTTTCAACATTTTTCTCTTCTGTTAAGTCATTTTTATTTTCAGATAATTGTTCTTCAGTTGCTATTAACTTTTCTTGAGCAATATTTGTGGCAATAACTTCCGAAGTAGCGTTACCTATTTCAGTTGAATTTTCAACTTTATCGTCTGTTTTTGCAGTTTCCAATTTTATTTCCTCAGTTTCTTTTTTTGAATCAGACTTTTCAACTTCTTGCACAACATTTTCAGTTTTCTCTAACAAAGTATCTGTTTTTTCAGCTGGTACAATTAATTCGCTTTGTTTTTCTGTTGTAATATCTGCGTTAGCCAATCCTATGTCTAATTTTTCTTGTACGTCATTAGAAACTATATCGTTTTTAATAGCAACATCTTCAATTTTTGGGATATCTTCAAGGATTGGCTGTTGTTCTTGTTTAGTTTCACTTAATGCAAATACCATCACCTGTGAAGGAGGAGGGGAACAAGGAAGTGGCGGAGGAGAGGAAGAAGATAGTTTATTTACAGGATTTAAAGGATCATTGTCATCATCTTTAGTTATAACATTACTAACATTTGTAGATATTTGTACATTATTGAGAGATTTTTCAGTTTCAGAACTTAAAGTAATTTCATTTGCATTAGGTTCAATATTAGAACTTGGTTCAATATCAACAACTGATGACTTTTCTTCACTCTTTACCTCAATTTTCGGTGACTCAGCTGAACCATTTAATTTTGGTTCTTCATCATGATGTTCAATTCCATTAGTTAAGGACGCTGATGTTTTTGTTTCTTCATGGGGTTTTTCGGTTTCAACTACTGGTGTATCATTAGACGAAGGAACATTTTCAACAACAGATTGTTGTTCCTTTTCTTCTGGAATCGGTGCTGTTTCTTCGGAAGGTTTTGGTGTTTCTACAATTTCTGTTTCTGGACCTTTAGTAACAGCTTCATCTGATTTTGTTTCTGTTTCTATTGTTGGAGTTTCTACTTTTTCAACTTTTACTTCGGATTCTACTTCGGTTGATTTATTCTCTTCTGTGGTATTTTTTGATTCTTCAGTTGGAACAGTGGAGGCTTCAGCAGCTGATGGAGAAATATCCTTCTTTTCTTCGGTATTTTTTACTTCTTCTGTGGTTGTCTGCCAAATAAAGCAAAAACAAATTCATGTTTAAAAACTTTTAAATTCAAATTAAAGTATAATTTAGGAAAACTTATATAACCTGAAAACCATCAATGAATACCATATGAGATTTCGTATTAAATTTATCTTTAGATTTCATTCATTACATTAAAATATTACTTCGTAATTTTAATTCATAGATGCTACAAAAAATTCACACAGTATGAAAAATTAAATTCATTCCACAAATTTAGAAAAAAAAATTTATATGTAAATTCATAATAATTGTAATATGAGATTGTTCATTACTACGCATTTACTGTCGCAGTGCGTGTCACTACCAAAAAAATTTAGTGAATGCGCTAACGTGATCATTTACTAAGGCGAAAGAGCCGCTGTTAGAAATAATACTGCCTTATATTAAAAGTTGTTTAAAAACAACATATTCCAATGATTAAATTAGTTTAAAATAAGTAATCGCAAACCAACACGTTTTATAACCTTATGAACGTATATTTTCGTTTACCACGGCCTTACATCTGCTTATAAAATAAAATTTTTAAATAATTTTGAAAATTCAAATCAAATTCACTTTGTAACTTTAATTTCCTCATATTAGATCTACTCACTCTTCGATCAGATTTGCGTTGGTATAAATAATCAGGCAAATTAGACAAAGACAAAAGGGGATAACAAATCCTTATTTTTGTCAAATATTAGCAATTATTGTGCTTTAAATATCATTTAATATTTTCCACTTCAATAATATAATAAATTTTCAAACAGAATTCCACTTAGAAGTCTAAACTACCGGTTATAAACTAGTTCAAACGTTCATCTCTCGAGTTTGAAATATTGTTGTGACTGCAGATTTATGCAATTAATCTAAATGTAATAATTTTATAATAATAAATCATTTGTATTAAGTACTTGATTACTGTTGATATTTCTTTAATTTTATTATTTTCAAGTATTCATGTGGATATATTTGTTTATTCTAAAATTGCTTGAAACCCCAAGCTGACCTATTTAATATTCCAAATTATAAATTTTAAATTCAATTACATTTTTTCATTTGAATGCTATAATTTAAAGAAAAGATTTTTTAAAAGAAATTCTCCAAATTGAATCTGCAGACTTATAAAAATTTATTTTAATTTTACATAAAAACAAAAATATTTCTTAAAACTGTTTTGCATTTGCTATAGTTTATAACTATCTCATAAATGTACCGAACACATGTATATGTACATACCTATTCATATTATATTTAGGGAAAACGCAATTGATAATAAAATTTTAATTTGTATAATCGGATCGCAGTGGAAAGCAAGTCATTGCCCTTTCTAAAATAAATACATACTAAGATATAACGACATAGTCGTATGGATAAAAATCGTATGTACATAGTACAAAATCAAGCACAAAATTTTTGCCATGATTTATGAGCATTATTAAAAAAAGATTTACAAAAAAAAAATAAAACTTATTTCAATTATTTTTATAATATACGGAATTGTACAAAAAGCAAACAAATTTAATATTAAAATACTACGCAACATTTCATACTTCCACGCAAAATTCAAGTATCGCGTATTTACTCATATTCTATGGAAAACAAATTGAAAATATAAAAAATTTTGCTAGTAAAAAACGGGAAATAATAAAAAAAAATTAATCTTAGAATAAACAAAATCTAGCAAAAATTAATTTTAAAAATGAAAATCAATTACTACTCGTACTCAAAGAATTGTGATAAAAAAATTATGATGGGTTAAAGAAATGTTTAAATTTCAAAAATTAATTTATTAATAAATTAAAGGGTTTTTAAAAGTGCTAAATTTTGATTTGGTTATAAGTTTTTGAGGGAGCAAATATGTAAAAATGTTCAAAGAGAAATCTTTAGTAGCTTTTGATATAAAAGAATCCTTTCAAAGGATTTTTATTCATTTTTAAGTTTGGCAGTCACATCTGAACGTCTAAGTAAATGAATTAAATTTCTTTTTAATTAAGAGTCCTGCCACATTTTATATTTCCTAAGACTGATACATAATTAATGAAAAATATTCATTTTCTCTCTCAGGTGGAGTTTTTTCATATTTTGCTTAAAAAATTTTTACCTTTGAACTTGACATTATTTTTGTCAAGTTAAAGTGCTTGCATATCCCATAATATCTCTTTCTTTTATGAACAATTTATTTAGGAGAAGCATCCTTTTTTTGGATATTCTTTATGTAGACTCCTATATATACATATATCTACCACATATAATCTGCTTAAACGAATCTTTTCTAAAAGTTAAGCAAATTATTGTAGATGAACTTATGTATGCTTTTTAAATAGTTTTCATTAGATTTGAATAAAACTCATAGTTCACTCAATGTTACAATTTCATTTAAATTTTTGCTTTTAGATTGGTAGGTACAATAGCGTTAATACAAATTCAAAAGATACAAATTTAATTTACTTCGAATATATAAAATAATAGCCGAACTGAACATTAATAAAACCTCATTGAAATATTAAGTATAATAAAAACTGTGTTTGATTTTTAGAAAAATTCGAATTTAAAATGTTGCTAAGAAGGCCATCTTGAGCTGAGAAAGCCATCTAAGAAGACCAAAATAATATCGTGATATTGGTACAAAATAGCAATTGAGCCTAATACAGACTAAATAGAAAATTTTATCATTTAAACTTTTTCCATCATTTTCCCAAAATTTTACGTAAAATCTTTCGAAAGTTTGAAAACTTTTTAACAGCTAATAAAAGTAATTAAAAAATTTTAAAAGTTATATTGTTCAAGGGAAATTGTAGTCATGTAATTTTTCCATTTCCAATATCATAAATTAAAAATTTCAAATTATATAAACCTCCTCATCTATGTATTTCCAATGGTCAATTTGAAAGAACTTTCGAATTTAATTTATATTTTTTCCTTTTACTAATACTAACTACAAACACACATTTATTTCAAAAGAATATTCAATTATAAAAAAACAACATCAATATAATAATTTCAAATAAATAAACAAATAAATAATAAATGTTAAAATTTAAAGAATTTATGTGCATATTTAAAAAGAAATTCAGATTATTAGTTGAATACCATAATTTAAAATAATTGAATTTTTCTTAAAATAAAACGAGAAAAAATAATTATAAAATCAGCAATAAAAACCGGCTATTAAATAATGTACACGTATGTATGTATGTCGATGCGAAAATATTCAAAAAATTAATATTATTTCAAGGTGAAAACAATACTTATTTTAATTTTATATTTGAACATCTTTTAAACCATAAAATTAATTAATTTAAATAAACTCTTTAAATGTACATAATAATTAATGTTCTTTCTGCTAATAAATTATAAATAATAATATTATTTTAAGGTACTCTCATCATACTCAAATTATGTTAAGTTTTAACTAAATTCCAATAATTTTAGAATTAAGAATTTAATTTTTCAAATAAAAATGAAAATTATTTAAACAATTTTTTAAATAATGCACCAATTATACGATTTTTATTAGATAAAGAAAAAGGTGTGCGAAAGAAAATTTTTTTCTAAAATATTTTACTGCAAAAAAGGTGAGTGAATGTGAACGTCACCAAGTTCAATAGGTGTAATGTTACTTTTCAACTTTCTCTCATTACTGTTTCACATTTTCCAGACGGGTATTTTTGATCTTCTTTTACTTGTTTTCTTTTTTTTTTCCTTTTTAAATGAAATTTTTTTTAGATTTCGTTTCAATGCCCTCTAAAACAATTTTTTTTTTCTTTTTGCATTTCATGGATTTGGATTAAAAATTTTTTTTCTTTGCTACTCTTTGAAAATCCAGTTTTTGATTTTATGATAAATTGCAAATTAAATAAACCGCTAGTCCAAAAAAATTAAATTTAATTGCTAAACTTTTGAAAAAGATTAAGACCGAATTGATTCTAAATTAAAATTTTTTAAAATTAATTCATTTTTGTACTTTTTTTTTATTTAACTGGTATGGTTAAAATTCTACAATTTCTCGATTCATTTTTTGAATATTTAAAATTCGTCAATTGTTCTCTAAAATTTTTTTAATTTCTCTAAAACTAGTAAATCTATAAAAGGGAATTAAAAAATTTTCCAAAAATTATTTACCACATCACTATTTTCCATTTTTTACTTTGTTTTTTTCTGGTTTTTTGTTCTAATATAATTTTATTTTATTTAATTTTTAAATAAAAAATAAACTTTTTTATAAAATTTTTAAAATCAAAATTTTCTTTTAATTTTTTTTTTTTTTAAATTTCAATTTAATTTTTTTTTTCTATAACTTTTTTTTGTTTAATAAAAAATATGGCTTTTTTATTTCAAGTATTATTTTTGACGATCAACAATTTTGAACTGAAGGAAATCTCATCATGACGGTAAACTTATATGTGCACCAATATATTCTCAAAAATAATTTTTTTAAATTAAAAATTTTTATTTTTCCTTTTTTTATTAGTTTTATATTTTTTTTTCTTTGGTTTTCTTGTTGTGAATACATTACATGTAATTTTAATACATTTACTATTATAAATAAATATACATACATACGTATATGAATACAACCACGAACATATGTATGTATGTATATATACCCTAAGTACGATTATTATTTGTTCCGTTCTTGCAATTATTAATGGTACTCTGGTACAATTTTTATATTTTATAAAAGAAAAGTAAAATAAAAAAAATTATCAAGTATATAAAATATATGTATATAAAACTATGTATATAAAACATTATTATAAACATACATACATATTATATGTACCTACATATACGCTGGGTAAGTACACTGAAAAAAAAAAAGAATGAAATTAGAAAACAAAAACCTATCATACTTCATACGTAGTGAAAATAAAAATGTTCACATACATAAATACATACAAAACATTCATATTCGTACGAAAAATTTATGTATACACATACAATTGACAGTATGTATAAATAATCTGCTTTTTTCTGTTTTTTTTTTCTGATTTTCTCT